CGAAGCTAAAATTGAAGAAATTTCGAAAATTAGCGATTTTTAAGTTTATAATTTTTATGGAGATTCCACCATTTACTGGAAACTAGGAAAATTTTTTAAATTTTTGAGGGTAATGTCTTCAACTAGATACGATTTGTAATCTTTAGACGTATTGTTGATAGAAATCAATTCTGTGAGAATNATCTTTAGACGTATTGTTGATAGAAATCAATTCTGTGAGAATTGAGAAAAAGTGGTAACAGACACACACAAAAAAAAAACATCATAGTAAAACCAATACCTTCTCAGCTTCTCATCGAAGCTAAAAATATGATGAATAAAAAAATGACACAAATGATTAATTTTATAGTCTATTTATAATATTTTGTATTAAACACTTTTTTTAGAAAATTTTAATATAATTAACATTAATATAAGTAAAATAATGTTTTTTAATTCTTTGATATTCTTAAATTCTTAATAAAGTTATTGCTACTAATGAATGCTTATAATTAGTGTATAATTAAAAATACTTAACATTATAGTAAAAATATGTATAAGACATTAAAGTCATAAAATCATTATACACCATTATACAATTATTTTTACGATTTATTTTGAAAAATGCTATTAACAAATAAGTATTTGAAATTATTTTAGATATTAATTTTAAATAATCATTCTAATATTTGTAGGATATCATTTATACATGTCATGTATGAGTTTAATTTTAAAATTCAAAGAAAATTACTTTTTTCAATAAACTTTTATATTAAATTTATGTTTATTAAACTATATTTTTTCCTTTTTCTATTATATAATAAGATGATTCGGAACCCAAATGAAATTTTTTCTNTATATAATAAGATGATTCGGAACCCAAATGAAATTTTTTCTGAACCATAAAATTAATATAAATTATTTTTAGCATTGTGTTAAGCAATTTTATCTTTTGGAATTCTTTGTATTTAAAATCTGAAGTTACGAAAATACCTATAAAATGTGACATTTTGCAAATTCAACAATTTTTTCAGTGACCACCACTCAGTTAGACAACGAGACGATCGCATAAAATTAATTATAAGAAAAAAAATTATTATATTTTCCTAATGCTACATTTTTATTAAAAATGCAAAATTTTAAATAGTGCAATAGTTAAAATACATTTATCCATGCAAACATTTAAGTTTTTTCCCTCAGTATATTGGGGTACACATGCAAACACGAACAGTGTTAGGACGACCAGCAACGTAGTCCAAACAGTAAAATATTAGTATATTACTATTAAGGGTAATTTATTTTTAAAAATAACTGCTTGTCCTTATCGGTTGCTATAATAGTATAATTGCTATTATTAATACTTTCTACTGAGATCATTAAAATAATGTTATTTAAAAATAACATATATTGTGTTTCATTTTATTATATTTAATTTGATAATTTTTACACCTATGACTAATGGTGTTATATTTCAAGTCGCATCCCCACTTCCAGCATCCACCATACACCATTGAATGTTTTTCAGTTAACATTATATTAAATGTATAGTGTATATTACAGTATTATTTGGCTTTTGAAAACACTATTTTTAAGTTGATAAATAATTAAAATTTTGAATTCAAAGTCGCAATAAAACAAAATTTACTAAGATTTAAAGTGTTTTAAACCATTAAGTTTCGTTATTTATTCAATGGTTTTATGTATGCTCAATACAGTCGTATTAACTTTATTTTTCGGGTTATGAATACAAATAAAAAATAAATTTAACAATGTCATCCACAATGTGTATGTAACAATAAATATAAACTTTTTTATTTATAGTTTCGAACTTATTTTCTCTAAATTTTAGTGAAGTCAATAAAATACATTATATTATACTTTAGGTTTAAATATATATCAGTTGCTAGTATTTCTTTATTCGTGGTTGATACTGAATATTTTTTTATTTGAAATAAATAAAATCGATATTGTATTCAATTAAAGAAATTATCAACAATGCAGCATATCTACAAGTTCGTTGTAAAAATTTTGATATTCATTCAAATTATGATTGTTTTATGTGAAGACAATAATTCTGTCAAAATTCTAAATTCGCTTCTTTTATCATCAAAATGGGAAACAAATCAAGCGGTTTTGTACTTTAAATTAGGCAATGGTTTTTTCTTTTTAAAAGACTTACTTATCGACGAAAATTCAAAAACAAATCTTGTAACTGTTGACAACGTTTCTACAAAGTACAAACAGACAATGATTTTGATTGATCATGAGTTTGGAAAACCGTTGAAATGGGTCATAAGACAAATTCTAAAATTTAACAAACAATGCTTATCTTTATTCTCTGATAAAACTGCAACTAGTGATGACTGTGATGAATGTGTGACAGCACTAGAAATGAACATAAAAAAATCTAAAGAACTGATAGAGTACCTTTATAGTGCTTTGAAATTTCTTGACGAAATGATGGATATTGAAACAGATACTTGGCTAAAAGAGTTATTCGTTGAATACATACAAATTATTCAGCCCATAATTATAAGTAACAGTTATGACAGTCTAACGGATGTCATTTATAAATTAGCCATTTTTGAAAAAAATTCAGTATGTAGATTTTTTCAGATTAAAAACATTATTATACCAGATTATAATATTGGCCCTTCGAAAAATGATTATCAAACATATTTATACAATTTAGAACCATCAAAATATAAGTGTACCTATGTTGAATATCTTCAGGGTATGTTTCAAAAAAAAGTCGATAAAATTATCAAAGTAATATACAATGACCATGGTTTCACCTATAATATTAGTGATGGTAAAAGTTATTACAATCTTTAGCATAAATGTTTTGACTATAATATTATTTCCAATAACCTTGATAAAAATATTTATTATAACTTTGTAAATCACTTGATCATTTTCAATTATTAAAAAATAAACGCTACCAAATTAATTAAACTAGAGTTTGTACTTAAATTTATTAAAGTGATCAAATACGTTAACATTTGTTTGACACAGAATATATTTGCTTGTAAGACAAAACCATAAAAATTGTTTTTTTAGTAATATCCTGAAAAAAAA